TTTTTTAAATATAAAAAAAAAAAAAATTTCTTATAAAAAAATTTATTAATTTATACAAATGTCGGATTATTATTATTATTATTATTATTATTATTATTATTTTACCGGTAAATACATATACATATGTACATATATTTACATAACGATTTCGATTACAATTAATAATATAATTAATTTCATTTCATTTATTTATTTAAATTAAACCGGGTATAGTCGTCTGACGACAATCAAAAAAAAAAAAAAAAAAAAAAATCAGTCAGTCAGTCAGTCAATCAATCAATCAATCAATCCTCCTTTTACGACGAAGTAAATAAATATATATATATATAAAAAAAAATTAAATAAACGCTATTTTTATTAAGGCTATTTTCTTCTTCTGATCTGACGGAGTATATTTTTAAACTTTGCTGTTGTTGCTGTTGGATTTAAATTTCTAATGGACTAGAAATAATAAGTAAATTATTTATATGATTTGAATTAAATTATAAATTTTTTTTTTTAATTTTCTCCGTCTCTTTTGAATTAAATAAAAAAAAAAAAAAAATTTAACTCGTTCGACAACTGGGAGAAGTTACCCAATAACTTTCTTCGTCACCCTCTCCAGCATCAGCAGCCAATCGGAATCCCATGTTTAAAAGAACTCTTTCGAATGGATCTGCATTCATTCGTTTTTGATTTTCCGATGCTGCATCATCCAAATTTAAAACGACTCTTTCGTTGACCGTCCCATCCTGAAATCAAGGAACCCAAAGAGGGAGAAAGAAATGAGAAGAAGTTTTTTTTTTTTTTTTTCAACTGAAAAAAAGCACAGAAGAAGTTGACAAAAAACCTCTGGTCGGGGACTCCATAATCTAACGACTGGATCTATTCCACTTGTGGCTAAAAGACACGAGCTCGGATGAGGTTGCAAACAATTAACTATCGAACCATCTCCTTGTAAAATTTGTATTATGTTTGTCGTGTATCGGTCCCAAATGAAAAACGAACCATCATCCGATCCGGCAATTATGTATTGTCCTTCGCTGAATCCAACAAAGTAAAAAAAAAATTTTTTTATACACATACATTTTCACAAACGTACAAAAAAAAAAAAAAACCATAGTTTTACGCGAACCTGCCAAAAAAATTAGCTTCTTTTATATCGGTTGTCGTGTTACAATGACCGCAATAACGTGTCTCGTAATCGCAAGCATTATTCCTCCATATTTTTTCTTGTTCGGATAGCGTGGCGTAATTACTAAATTGTTCATCCCATAATTTCGCATATGGATTTTCGGAATTGAATGGAACTGAATTCGAGTCTTCTTTTTCGTCTAAATTTACATAATTATTATTATTATTACAAAAATTAATTAAATTAAAGAAAAAAAAAAGTCAAATAAATTTACCCGACATAGTTTCTACGGCTACGGATGAGTTTTGAGATTGTTTTCCTTGTCTGACTAATTGAATGTCCATGTCTAACGCTTTATAAGCTCTACTTTGAGCTTGATCGGGAAATTTATTTTTAAATTCTTCAAGGCACTTGCAAGCTTCTTCAAAAAATTGCAATTCGAATAAGCATTTAGCAAGCCTAAAATGGGCTTTCATATGATTCGGATCTAATTGTAATGTGATGTTGCAATCCCTTAACGCCGCGTACATGTCCCCGTCCCTATAAATTGTAATCAAAACAAGGTATCTCAGTATCTTTAAATTAAAATACTAAATCAGCAGGTATCGGAAAAAAAAAAACCTTACCATCCTCTTTTCATGTAAGCAGCAGCTCTGTTACCGTATAGCAATGCCCAATCGGAACATATACTAACGGCTTTATTATACAAATTTATAGCAGAAGTGTAACGTCTGACTTCAAATGCATTATTAGCCTAAAAATTAAATCGATTAATTTGAATTGAAATAACAAATACCAATCATTTAAAAAAAAAAAAAAAAAAAAACAAAAAAAGATTCATATTACATCCATTTTCAAAGCTTCTAATTTTTCCGGATCGGCAACACTTGAAGGAGGATGAGATGATGACGTTGACGAAGATGACGGAGATGATGACACGCCATTTATTTGTTTAGAAGTAGTCAAACCATTAGATTGTTTTATAGAATTATAAAATCCATTACTGCAACTACTACCATTTGGTTCGCAAACTGAAAAAAAAAAAAAAAAAAAAAAAAAAAATGTTTAACATTCTCATCATATTTTCAATTGATTATTGTTTTTATATTTTTTACACAACACCTTCGGAATTTTTTTCGTAAATTTTTGTTTTTCTTTTATTGTTAATGTCGAATAAGTAAATTTGATCTGCTCCGAGATTAACAAGAAGTTCTCCGCCACAACTTGAAAATGTCAGATAAGTTGACGCCAATTTTTTGTATTTTTCTTTAGAACAATGTTCTTTAACGGGCAAATGACCGGCGACAAAATACTGTACACAGCCAATTGGTAAATCCGTTAATGATCGCCACGGCCATTTCGAATATCCCTCAGGAACATCCTAAAAAATTCAAATGAGTACATTCACCCCCTACATATAAATTCATTCATTTTCGAATACAAACAAAAAAAAA